ACCCTCAGAAGGTCTGCTAGATGATGTTAATGCAGCACTACGGACAATACCTACAGCCACGATTACCGACACTAACAAGCTGATCTACAATACGGCAGCAGTGATCAGTGAGATGCTTGGCTACAAGTTGAACAGCGACAAGGGGCAGTACCCTCCATGGAGAAGGAGGCTAGAGGGCAAGATCAAAGTAGCACGGAGGGAGGTTAGCCAACTAACGGAGTTGCAGAAAGGTGCGACAAAGAAGGTGCATAAGAAATACAGCAAGCTGTCCATACCTGAGGCCTTGGAAACTGCCAAGCAAAGACTCACAGCCTTGGCCAGCCGCTTGAGGAGGTACACCAGAGAGATAGAAGGCAGGAGAATAAACCAGCTGTTCTCCACAGAACCAGCAAAGGTGTACTCTCAGTGGCAAGGGAACAATAAGAGAACAGCACTACCAAGGCTGGAGATGGAGCAATACTGGAAGAGCATATGGGAGAAGGACGCAACCCATAACGGCAATGCTCAGTGGCTGGAGGATCTGAGGGCAGACCACAGCGACCTCCCTGAACAGGGTCCAGTAACCATCACAGTGGCAGATATCCAAGAAAGGGTCTCCAGTATGAAGAGTTGGACAGCACCAGGGCCCGACATGGTTCACGCCTACTGGCTGAAGAAGCTGACTGCACTCCACGAGCGTCTGGCAGCACAAATGAACCAGCTGCTAGTTAACGAGAGACACCCGGAATGGCTAACTGAAGGCCGGACGGTCCTGATCCCCAAGGACCCCAAGAAGGGACCGGTCCCCTCCAACTACCGACCAATAACCTGCCTCAGTACTACATGGAAGCTCCTGTCAGGCATCATATCGGCTAAGATGAACAGGCACATGGGTCAATACATGAGCGGGACACAGAAAGGAATTGGCAAGAATACCAGAGGCGCAAAACACCAGCTACTGGTAGACAGAACAATCAGCCGAGACTGCAGGACCAGACTGACCAACCTGTGCACTGCCTGGATTGATTACAAGAAGGCCTATGACTCAATGCCCCACAGCTGGATACTGGAATGCCTAGAATTGTACAAGATCAATGGGACCCTAAGAGCCTTCATCAGGAACTCAATGGGGATGTGGCGTACAACACTAGAGGCCAACTCCAAGCCCATAGCACAAGTCACCATCAAGTGCGGGATCTACCAAGGAGATGCTCTGTCCCCACTGCTGTTCTGCATAGGCCTGAACCCCCTCAGTGAGATCATTAACAAGACTGGCTACGGATACCGACTACGGAACGGAGCAGTTGTCAGCCACCTCCTGTACATGGATGACATCAAGCTGTATGCCAAGAGTGAACGAGACATCGATTCACTGATCCACACTACCAGGCTATACAGCAATGACATTGGAATGTCGTTCGGACTGGAGAAGTGTAGCCGGATGGTAACAAAGAGAGGGAAGGTAGTCAGAACTGAGGGGATTGAACTACCAGAAGGCAACATTGCAGACATAGAGGACAGTTACAAGTACTTGGGGATCCCGCAGGCGAATGGGAACCATGAAGAGGCCGCTAGAAAAGCTGCAACCACCAAGTACCTGCAGAGGGTCAGGCAAGTCCTGAGGAGTCAGCTGAATGGTAAGAACAAGATCCGGGCCATCAACACGTACGCCCTGCCCGTGATCAGGTACCCTGCTGGGGTAATAGGCTGGCCAAAGGAGGAGATAGAAGCCACTGACATAAAGACAAGAAAGCTCCTTACCATGCATGGAGGGTTTCACCCCAAGTCCAGCACCCTGAGACTGTACGCTAAGCGGAAGGAAGGGGGCCGGGGACTGGTGAGTGTCAGCACCACAGTCCAGGATGAGACAACGAACATCCAAGAATACATTGGGAAGATGGCCCCAACTGAGGAGGGAGACGAGGAACCATCATGGAAGGACAGGCCCCTGCACGGTATGTACCACCGGCAGATAGAGGAGGTGGCTGATATCCAGAAATCCTACCAGTGGCTGGACAAAGCTGGACTGAAAGACAGCACAGAGGCACTAATCATGGCAGCACAAGAACAAGCTCTGAGCACAAGATCCATAGAGGCTGGGGTCTATCACACCAGGCAAGACCCCAGGTGCAGGCTGTGTAAAGATGCCCCAGAGACAATCCAGCACATAACAGCAGGGTGCAAGATGCTAGCAGGCAAGGCATACATGGAACGCCATAACCAAGTGGCCGGCATAGTGTACAGGAACATCTGTGCCGAGTATAACCTGGAAGTCCCGAGGTCAAAATGGGAGCTGCCCCAAGGGTGGTGGAGAATGACCGAGCTAAGATCCTGTGGGACTTCCAGATACAGACGGACAAAATGGTGGTGGCTAACCAACCGGACATAGTGGTGGTAGACAAACAGAAGAAGACGGCCGTAGTGATCGATGTAGCGGTTCCGAATGACAGCAATATCAGGAAGAAGGAACACGAGAAGCTGGAGAAATACCAAGGGCTCAGAGAAGAGCTCGAGAGGATGTGGAGGGTGAAGGTAACGGTGGTCCCCGTGGTAATCGGAGCACTAGGTGCGGTGACTCCCAAGCTAGGCGAGTGGCTCCAGCAGATCCCGGGAACAACATCGGAGATCTCTGTCCAGAAGAGTGCAGTCCTGGGAACAGCTAAGATACTGCGCAGGACCCTCAAGCTCCCAGGCCCCTGGTAGAGGACCCGAGCTTGAAGGATAAACCGCCCGCAGGGGCGTGCTGGGTGTTTTGTTTTTTTTTGTTATATAAATCCTTTAAAATTATAACCAACAGATTAACACATTAGGTTTTTGTAGGCTATTAAACTATGAAATACAGTCAAAGAACTGGAGATAGCCTCCGCTTATTATAGGTTTGTTATTGCACGGATGAGCTGTGCCCTTCTCAATTAGGACTTGTGGTTGTTGCAAAATCAAAATGGTATTGCCTCACTATTCATTCTGAGACTAAAAATAAAATTAAGTCAAGAATTATTTTTTTTAAAAATGGCTACTAAACACATTCTTCTTACACAAGGATAGATGTAGAACTGCAAAGCAAAAAATAAATACCGTAATAGGTATGATGGCTCCGGCCTTGTTATTGATTGGTGGGCATGTTTTTGTTTACTATTTTAATTTCCTCATTAACAGCTCCTCCCATCCACTGAAAGAAAACCTGTTTAGTATACGGTTTATATTACATTCTTCTTATAAGCAGGACAGAGGAGAGAAGAAAAGGTGCGGAGAGCAGAGGAGCTGAACAACGAGATACCAAAATAACAGGAAAGAAGTTATGAGACCAGGGCAGGTAAAATTTAAAAACTTTACTAGATAAATACTTTCTCAAATTAATACTTCATCGACATTCTAACATTTTTTTTTAAAGTTTTATTCCTGCTGCTTAATTTTTTTTATTGCCTCAAACAAGAAGAACTCAAATTGAACTTTTTATTGTTTACTGTTTATTTCTGAATCATTCTAAGAATTCAATCTTTAGTGTTCATAATGTTTGATATGTTATATGAATTATACTATAAAATGTAATTTTAAAAAAACTTTAAAGAGGTGTTGTTATCAAAGGAAAATCCAAAACATTTCAGAGCTGGGCTAAGGGCTCAGTGTTTCAAAACCCTAACAACCCCCCTGGTATAAAGTAACAAATTTACTAAGAAATAAGAATAACTGAATATGTGATTAAGAAAAAAGCAAAACTAATAAATTAATAAATAAACAGAAGAACATCATAAAAACGCACTCCTGTAACGAGCTGTCATTTAGGATGGCACCGTGGTAGTAGAATCGTGAAATGGACACTTGTGGCAATGATTCTGATATATGACAATTTATGTCATCTTTTTCAATGATATTACTGAAGTCAAGTACTCAGTGCAGAGTTCAGAAATTACAAAAGAAATAGCAAGATCGTATCAATAAATTATAAACAAACCACTATTAATGCAAATGATTACCCAGTGCCATGTGCAGAAAGTAATGATATACATGGTCAGAGGGCCCGGTGGCGCCAGTGTCCGGCAGCCTCGCCTCTGTCAGTGCGCCCCAGAGCGGCTGTGGCTACACTGTAGCTTGCCATCACCAGTGTGTGAATGTGTGTGTGAATGGGTGGATGACTGAATGTGTAAAGTGCTTTGGGGTCCTTAGGGACTAGTAAAGCGCTATACAAATACAGGCCATTTACCATTTACCATTTACATAGTACTGGTATACACTGTTAAATGCATGACCACCGAGAAAAATCAACTGCTTGAGACATATGGTATTCTATTATTTGAAAAGTGTCCTTGGGCACCTCTACTTAGTTCTATCTGAACATCTAGATCAACCAGATAATTACAGCTAATGTGCAAACACACAGAAACTTTCCAACACGTGTGCAGGAAGCATTACTGTGTTTTTAAAGCACAGCTAATGCTAACAAAGAAGCAAAAGCATATTTACATTTTTTCCATCTCTGCACCAGTGACTACTTCCATACAAAATAAATAATATACAGTTTTACTGTTTGCATCGACACTTAATAACAACAGTCTTTGCCAAACAGCCACTTTAATGTTATTTGGTGAATCTTTATGCAATAAACTCTTACATTTTTAGCACTTCTTTGTCTTTTGTGTTCATCTGATAAGCCAAAGAGTGTCTGTAAGGGTGCATGAATGTGAGTACAGTGCAGCACAAGAACGATGTAGCTAACCACGATCGGTGATTGTCTACAGTGATATATGTACAACATTGGCACAATATACAGATATAAATAATACTCTTGTAAGATTTGTCCAACCATCACAAAAATGTTCATTCAGTTCAGGCAAATGTTGTTGCATTAGCATATTCTGAGGCATTACTATTAAATTATCTGCTCATTTCTGTATTTGCATACTGCTTCATCTGCAGCTGCAAAAACTGAGAGGGCAGCGTTATCAAAGACAGAGAGCAAGTAGAAGCAGCAACTGATAGAGATCAACTTACAACCACGGCAGACTCTCTCAGCTAAAAAGAGCATGGGGACGGGTAAGTTAATTTAGTCTAGACATATATTACTATTTCTCTTTAAGCAGCAATATGTGAAAGGTTATTTGAGTTCTTGTTAAACTGTTCAAAATGAGCACTCATACCTGGTATTAATTATGTTATTAATCACAAAAGAAACTGAGTTAGATAAATGCAAATATCAACTTGCACACAGAATTCTGTATGTGCATCACAAAAGTAGAAGCTAGTATTGCATAGAACATGTGTTGGAGCCAACTATGAAAATGCATAGCTGTATTTTGTTAATTAAAAATTACTTAATTTGTATAATTTGGCAACAAATGTAATGAAATCCTCTTATTTTATCTGTTCATATAATATATTGTGGAAACATGATTTGTTTAATAAAACATTTTCTTTTTTGTTTTCAGATAACATCACTTTCAATGCAACTCAGTCACCTGAACAAGATGAAGCTTTCACACACATACAAACAGCCTCCATTGTCATCTACTGTGTGATATTTATAGCTGGAACTCTGGGCAATGGCCTTGTTATCTATGTGGCGGGATTCAAAATGCAGAAAACAGTCGACTCGGTTTGGTTTCTCAACCTGGCCATAGCTGACTTCCTCTTCACGGCCTTCCTTATTTTCTCGATCATTTCTCTCTCTCAGAGTCACCGATGGCCTTTTGGAGAATTCATGTGCAAGCTCAACACCTTTGTGAGTGTAGTCAACATGTTTGTCAGCATCTTTACTCTGACAGCCATGAGTTTGGATCGTTGTCTGTGTATCTGTGTGGTGGTGTGGGCACACAACAAACGCACAGTCAGCAAAGCTCAGCTCATATCAGCTGGGATCTGGGTGATCGCTGGCGTCTTCAGCACTCCTTATGCCACTTTTCGCACTGCATCAGTGGGGAACGGAGGGGAAAGTTCCTGTGGTTATTCTGCAACAATCAAAGAACACAAATTGACTCTCTGCATTTTTCGCTTTGTTATGGGCTTTGTGATCCCATTCCTGATAATAATGATCTCTTATGTGTCCATTGGTATCCGTGCAATGCGCATGCCGAGAACAAGGAGACGCAGATCTCGCCGGGTCATTTTCTCCATCATTTTTGCATTCTTCATCTGTTGGTTGCCTTTCCACATTTTCAATTTCATAGAATTGAAGTTAGAGCTCCAGGGGATTGTTAGAATGTATGGTCCTCTGACTGTGAGTCTGGCTTTTCTGAACAGCTGCTTGAACCCCATCCTTTATGTTTTCATGTGTGAAGAATTCCAGAAGAAATTTCGACAGTCCATTTGTTTTGTACTCGAGAGTGCACTGGCAGAAGACCATTTGTTATTTCTGTCCACCCGCTCCATGTCATCAACCTTTTCAAAAGCTTCCCAAAAATCAGACACTGCTGCCACTTTAGATCGGATCGACCCAGCCATTTATGAAAACATCCCAGAAAGCACAGTAATCATCACTGAGGGGATTCCTAGAACTGAATAAGAGTGCCCCACCAGACAATGAATTTTGAAATGAATCATTGTTTTTTGTTTTACATATTTACGCTCATGAACAGACATACACAATATAATTTGCTCGTCTGCCTTCACATGTATATGGACTTGAATGAAACCCTCATTTATTCATGTAATGAATTTTACATCAATTTCTAATGAATTTTATTGCATTAAATGGTTTTTTTGTTTTTGTTTTTTTAAACTTTAAACTCTTTCACAGAAATATAAAATGTCAGCTATGCTTACTATATTTACTTATAATAGTAAGAAAGAGGAGTTACAATTTTAATTAGTCAGAATACGTTAAAACTTATGCGTGCTGCATCTCTGCATTAAAATTCACTAAAACTATTTAACATATGAATGGTTTTTTTGTGTTGTTTGTTTTGTTTTCTGTTTTTTTACTTTGATGCTGTCATTTTTCCATGATTTGGATTTCATCATTAAATTAATTTTAAGTGACTTTTATGTTAGAAGGTAGATGTTGCAAAGCAAAAAATACAATAAATCTTTTTTTTTTCGTAATTCTTCATGTCATGGCCTTAAGATACAGTTCATATGTTGTTTGGCTACTTTTTGGGAAACATTTAGCTTTCAAGCTCTAATCCTTGGCATTTTTTCATCGATAAATACATGGGAACAAATAATGCTAATAAAAAGGTGCCAAAATTTATGAATTACAATAGTGTATTTGCTTAGTTGGCTGTTATGTGTAGACACCGAACTGGTCTGTCCCTTAAGTTAGTTGCAGTTTTTTTTTTTCTTTATTGATTCATAGATCAGTGTTAAATGTGTTACGAAAAACATTACAAATGGTTAGAGACTGAATGAGTAAAAAAGCAGCCCATGTCTAAAGAAAACTATTGCTCGAGACCCCTTCAAAAATTACAGTAATGAATTCTGACACCATGGAAACAAAATATAAAGAAATGTATAAAGAAAACATGCTAAATAGTCAGTTTTCTTACATTGACTATTCAGTATGTAAACAAAAAGATGCAATAGTTACAGTTCAAGGAGCAGCGTGCTGAAGTTAGTATGAAAATGTTGTTTATTTTCTTTTTCTGTTTTAAAAAAAATTGAATTATGACTTTAAGGTCTGAGATTAGAAAAGATGTACATCCTTGAGATTTAGCAACATTTAAAAGCCTTCATTTCAGTTACTCTGTATTCAAGTATATTTTTTTAAATATGCAAATAACCTTTTTTGAGATTTTTTTTAAATACGTCATTAGGCCTTGGGGTGTGGAGTGCTGTCTTATTTTCTTTCTTTCTTTCTACCATTTCCTGAGAGAACATGATTGTCAGCTCAATAGTCCTACAAAGAATTAATGGTGCCTCTCCAGACAGTAATGCACCACCATACCATCAGAGATGCAGGCTTTTCAACTGACTGCTGATAGCAAGATGGATGGTCTCTCCCCTCTTTAACCCAGAGGATGCAAATGTTTGCATGTTTTCCAAACACAACTTCAAATTTCAATTCGTCTGAATACAGAACAGTTTTTGACTTTGTCTCAGTTCATTTAGTTCATTTTAAATGAGCTTTGACCCAAAGAAGATGGAGCATTTCTAGATCATGTTAATATATGGCTTCTTGAGAGATGTGTGGAGATACTGGACTTTTGAAGAAACTTGCCCTGTGGAATCAGGACCTTCACTATTGTTGAACTTGTGTTTGGATTGTTGTTTCACCTTCATACTGTAAATAAAGTCACTGAACATTATCTGAGCGGTTCCTTGAAAACATTTGCAAATGACAGCATTCTGATTTTTTCTCACATTTTGCACAACATTCCAACCTTTCAAGAATTGGGTTTGTAATTGCCCAAGAATGTAACACTGCCCATTATGATAGCTGAATATATGGTTTATATCCCTCATTTTAGCTTTCCAGTTATATGCAGTTCTGTCATCATGAGTAGTGCACAGGTGTACCTCAGACTGCCCACAACAAAAGGCCACCCTGGAATGTGTCTCATGTGGCATTTTTGTCTCACAGCAAAATGCCACAGATGCCACAAGCAATGAGGGAGCGTGCAATTGGCATGCTGACAGCAGGAATGTCAACCAGATCTGTCGCCCGTGCATTGAATGTTCATTTCTCAACCATAAGCCGTCTCCACAGGCGTTTCAAAGAATCCAACCGGCCTCACAACCGCAGACCTCGTGTAACCACACCAGCCCAGGACCTCCACATCCAGCAGGTTCACCTCCAAGATCGTCTGAGACCAGCCACCCAGACAGCTGCTGGAACAATTGGTTTGCACAACCAAACAATTTCTGCACAAACTGTCAGAAACCGTCTCAGGGACGCTCAACTGCATGCCCGTTGTCCTCATCGGGGTCTTGACCTGACTCCAGCTCGTCGCCGTAACAGACTTGTGTGGGCAAATGCTCACATTCGATGGCGTCTGGCACGTTGGAGAGGTGTGCGCTTCACGGATGAATCATGGTTCACATTGTTCAGGGCAGATGGCAGCTGAGAATGTCCCAGTTCTTGCATGGCCAGCATACTCACCGGACATGTCACCCATTGAGCATGTTCGGGATGTGCTTGACCGGCGTATACGACAGCGTGTACCAGTTCCCACGAATATCCAACAACCTCGCACAGCCATTGAAGTGGAGTGGACCAACATTCCACACGCCACAATTGACAATCTGATAGACTCCATGCGACGATGTGTTGCACTGCATGAGGCAAATGGTGGTCACACCAGATACTGACCGGTTCTGGGTCCCCAGACCCCCAATAGCGCAAAAAACTGCACATTCCAGGGTGGCCTTTTGTTGTGGGCAGTCTGAGGTACACCTGTGCACTACTCATGATGTCAGATCAGCATCCTGATGTGGCACACCTGTGAGGTGGGATGGATTATCTCAATATAGCAGATGTGCCCACTACCACACATTTGGACTGATTTGTGACCACTGTTTGGGAGGGATGGTTATATTGTGTATCTGGAATGAATTTTAGGTCTCTACGTCCATCCCATGGGGAATGGGAGCAGTTTTTTTGAAACAGAGTCAGCATCTTTAACGTAATGCTGGCTCATTTATCAGCACATCTCTCTGAGGATTAAAGATTGGATAGGTGTTAAGGACAGTTGTAAAGGTTTTACAACAACTGCCAAGGCACAATTTGTTGAATATAATATCAAAAACAGCTAGGTAGAAAAAAGAAAAAAAAACATTTTTTGTCTTGTGTTTTTTGTCAACACTATCATTTTATTCCAATGGACTTCCAAGTACAAAGCAACACAATCTGAATAAAATCTCTTAGTGCTCTAAAACAAGTGACATCTTTAGAAAATACTGTTCTTGGGACTTTCCACTGGCTCTCAGTCCATCCAGGTCAAGGAACAGCTTCTGAAAACTTCAAAAGTATATTTTAGATCCATGCAATAGCTCAGATTGAGAGCATATATTATGCCCACGAGTAACACACAGCACCTTGGGAAATCCTGGCCCTCCAGGATTTTTGTTCCTTCCACCTGTTATAGCAAATGCAAATGGACCCAGGAAGCAGAACGCACGGAGGCACAGTTGCGGTGAAGACAGTTTATTTACAGTGAGGGGGAGGTATTTACAAGGACAAAATATATACAGTGTATTAATCGGGACGCGGAGCCAGGACGCATTTACGCAATTTACGCATTGTTCACTCCCAACTCGGTTTGGTTTCTCAACCTGGCCATAGCTGACTTCCTCTTCACGGCCTTCCTTATTTTCTCGATCATTTCTCTCTCTTAGAGTCACCAAATGGCCTTTTGGAGAATTCATGTGCAAGCTCAACACTTTTGTGAGTGTAGTCAACATGTTTGCCAGTATCTTCTTTCTGACAGCCTGGATGTCTGGATCGTTATTTGTCCATCTGGGTGGTGGTGTGGGCACACAACAAGAGGACAGTCTGCAAAGCTCAGCTCATGTCGTGGGCTTTGTGATCCCATTCCTGGTAATACTTGTCTCTTAAGTGGCCATAGGCATCCGTGCAATGCGCATGTCAATAACAAGTGTGGAAATATTAAGCAAGATAGATGTTGTTGCTCAAAGGTTAAAAGAGCCAGGCATTGAGGATATGAAATTATGTGTAGGCTAGTGGAAATGGATTTTATTATGACATATATACCTATATACACTTGATATGTAATCATAATTACTCAGATAAATTCTGTGCAATCATATATACTATGCACACTTACAATGAAGTGTCTTATATAGTGGAGTCACTGTGTTAAGCAATTAACCTGCATGTTCAACTCACATGACCCATATATTTAGGTCAAATATATCTACCACTATATGAATGAAAAAGTTTGTGCCACTTGTTGTATGAATACATGCTGATCAGTACTGTTTGAAAATGTAACAGTGAGGATCAGTAAGAAACCTTTGATAGTGTTATGGCCAACTGTGACTAGTCTAACATAGGGTTAATTCAGCTTGGCACTGCTAAAGTATGCGCATCGGACCCCTTCTCTGCATCCAGCTGCATTTAACTGTAGTGCTTCACTGCGTGTTCAGCCCTTTACATGGCTGTACAACAGCCGTTTAGATGGCTGTACAGCAAAAGCAGTGTTGGGATTCAGAGATTCTTTTATTGCTACCATATAATCTGCCTTATGAAGAATGTATTAATAACATGTTTCACAGTATCATTTATCAGTAATATTTCCTGCAGGGTTTATAAAATTGCATTGAATATGTCTGTCATCACATTGACCTTTCTATTTTTACAGGTTGAGTTCATTCTATACACAATGCATAAATGTGCTTGGTTAGAGTTGATGTTCCATTCTAGAAGGTTTTAAGCTTCACTGGTGAGAGTGTCCAGATGATACATGCTGAGGGGAGATGAGAACATAGCAGGTTAATTGCATGCACGCTTACGATACACATATTAATCTACTAGCAGGTCTGAGCGAAGGCCTAAGCGTCTTCTGCTTCAGTTTGAGACTGGCTGCAAAGTACTCTACTTAGTGA